AGAATTCAATGAGTAAATTCTTAAATAGCTATCTAGAGAACATTTTAGTATTTTCAAAAGTGAGTTTAGTATAAGTCTAATAAGTGGGGGAAATATGTTCTTAAAGTTTTTATTATCAGTGGTCTTTGCTAGAAATTATAGAAATGTAAAATAAAACAAGTATGAGGAGCCACCTATCCACCTAAAAGAACAAAAATAAAAGTGATAAAATCCAACATTGGCAGGGTTACAAAGATACAGTCATGTCTGTATAATGCCAGTGACATTGTAGGTTAGTTCAGTCATTTGTATGGTAAGAACCATTAAAAATGAATCTAGTCATCTAGTTCTCCAAGGATATGACTCAAAAATTAAAAACTATTTGTATAAATTCTTTTTAGCTATGATATCAACTAGTTATTATTATTTTTTTAAACAGAAGCCTCAAATCCAACAATTGGGAGCTAGTGAAGCAAATTATTATTTAATATAATGATCGACCATTATATTACAGTTAAACATTAATCTGTGCACTGTGTAGTTTCAAAGAAGAGTAGATATGAAACAAGTGGAAAAAAACGATGAGAACACTGATAACTAAAAACAGGTTTACATAAGGAGAAGAAGAAAATTTATCAAGGTTATACAGTTTATATTTCAATGCAATGTTGGTTGAATGTACACACTTGAAGAAATAATGTATATATGTATATATGTATATATTTGCTACAAAAATGCAGACTTTTCTTAGTAGTTCACTCTTTGAGATCTAAATGTCTTATGGAGATTTTGACTTTGTGTTAATGGGCCACATGTAATGAATAAACTCTCTTCATTGTCCTCAAGAACCTGAAGGACAAGCTTGTCTTGAACACTCAAATATTGCAACTCCTCATTTGACAGTTAACAGGTTCTATTAAAACCTCCCACAGGGCTGGAATTGGTAATTGCAGCAGTAGACTTAGAAACCAGGTTTCATCAAAGGGAGCCCAGGGGCAGGGTGACCTTGGAGGCTAGCATTCACTGGGGACAGCTAGAGAGCAAGAGGAGAAGGCCTTGAAGGAGCCATAGAAAGAGCCATAGAAAGAACTCCTGGGAGTGACTGCACCCACCCTATGTGCTTGAATCTCTACTTAGCAGCTTGGAGAAGGGTTTCTGCTTTTCCAGGGATGGGGAACACACTGTCTCCCAGCAAACAATTCCATCTAGACAATTTTTGATAGAAGACAATCCTTATGTTTAGCCAAAGACCTGCCTCCCTTTACTCTCTACCTACTGATCTTATTTCTAACTAATCTTTGAAGCCCCACAGAACAAGTCTTATCCATAGAACAGCTTTTAAAGGCAGCTTTTATACCTCCCAAGTTGCCAGTTCTCCAGATTGAGCCTTCTCAGTCCTTCCAACTATTCTTCATTTAGTTGATTTCCATCCCTTTCCTATTCCTGGTGCTGACCCCTGGTGTACCACAGTATGTGACTGTTGCCTCTGTAGTGTGCTACCTGAAACAGAACACCATTCATGGCAAAACGGAACATTGCTATATATCATCTACTTAAAGTCTCTCTCATCCTAGTGCAACCTAGAATTTCATTAGTTTATTTGGTTATCTATTATGTCACTGACTTCTGTTAAGCTTATCATCAACTAAAACTTATGAGTAGCATTTTTTTCCCTTTCACATGCATGCAGTTGCCAAGCCATATCCTGTCAGCCTCTTTTTGAGCAGTTTTCTTAGCAATAATCTGCTGTAGGTAACTTCAGTTTTTATACACAACATAAAGAGACTTCTTTATGTGTTTGTAGGTAACTTCTTTATGTGTTTGTAGGTAACTTATGTAGGTAACTTCAGTTTTTATACACAACATAAAGAGACTTCTTTATAGTGTTTGATATAAATTGAGCATCTATACCAAGTAAGCAATAGAGTGGTTTCTTGGTTGTTGGGGAGGGATTGGGGAACTTGTCAGTCC